AGGTCCCTGATGCTTTGCCGAGCTTGTTTTTTTAAGTAGGTGCTTTAGACCACTGAGCCATCTCTCCAGCCCTCCAGCATCATTTATTAAAGAAGCTGTCTTTCTTCCAGTGAATGTGTTTGCCACCTTTGCCAAAATAAAGTGGCAGAGCGCGTCTGGAGTTGTTTCTGTGTCTTCCAATCTGTCCCCTGGTCCTTGGCTCTGTTTTTGGGCCAGCACTATGCTGTTTTTATCACAGTAAATTTGTAGTATAATTTCAAGTCAGAGATTATGTGTCCCTGTCTTGCCTTAGTGGCCCAGAATTGCCTTTGCTATTCTAGGTCTCTTCTGGTTGCAAATGAATTTTAGGATTGTTTTCTTGAATTCTGTGAGTTACGCTGTTAGAATTTTGGTTGGAACTGCATTAAATCTGTATAACAGTTCTGGAAGTACGGCCATTTTCACTATACTGGTTCTTCCTACCCCAGAGCAAGGGATATCTTTCCATTTTCTGAAATCCTCCTCAACCTCCTTTTTCAGAGGACTACAGTGATTTGTAGGTTTTGCATTCAGAGTGTATGAGCCCTGCAGCACTTCTTCTTTTTCAATACTGTTTTGCCTATTCAGGGCCCACGGCAGTTGCACGTGAATTTGAGAACCAGCTTCCTCACTTACGTAAGGAACAAGGCAGCGGGGTTTTGACGGAAATTTCAGTGAGCACGCATCACTTTGAGGCATGCTGCCCCTAAGACACTCTCTTTCAATCCATGAACATGGGATTCCTTTCCACTGCAGTAATCTTTACCTTTTTCAGCAGCATGTCATGGCTTTCAGTGTCCACGTCTTTTTGATCTCTTGGGTTACATTTATTCCTACTTTATTCTTTTCAGTTCTACTACCAATCTCACATTAAATGACATTTATTTTTGCATGTATTGGAATATTACTCAGCCTTTTAAGGAGGAAGAAAATTTGGATATCTGCTGAAGTTCAGAATTTCATGGGCGAACCCTGATATTATTGCAAGCAAAATAATCAAGACATAAAAGGACAAGCCCTGTGTGAGTCTACTGAAAGAGGTCCCGAGAGTAGTCAGATCCACAGAGATAGAAGGGAACGTGGTAGGAGGAGAGGACGGGGAGTCACGGTCAGTGCAGACAGCTTCAGTTAGGGACAGAGCTGGCTGGTGGTGATGGCTGCGCACTCTGACTGTTCATCATAGCAGTGAAAGGTGCACTCAGCAGGGGTCAGGGTGGTAAGTCGTGCTATGCATACTTTATCAAAATCATAAAGGACTATTTGTTACTCAGCTTTCTACTTACATAAGCTTTATCTGACATATCCAGAAATTTTATAAATTTGTAAAGTAAATACACAGTAGTTGGTAACAATTTTTTATTCACTGGGGATGTTTTACATGTTATTTCAGGTTTTCCTCTTAAATTCCTTACTGCCTTGACCAAAGGTATAAATGCTGCAGCAGGCCGTTTATATCATTGAGCATGCAAAGGTTCACCCCTACTAGGCGAGACTATGATTTTAAATCAATTCCTTAATTCTGGATATTCACCTCCCAAAAAAAATTCAAAATTTTTTTTGTTACAAGTAAGAATTTAGGATTTTTTTTTTAAGGGGCTGGCTCAGAATGCCTTCAGGGCATGTTTGGCTGGCTGGAGTTGTGGGGATCGAACCACAGCAACCTGAGGCTGACTGCTTTGTTGAAGCAGCCACTGAAACAACTGAGCTACGGGGCAGGCCCCTCAAGTACGAATTTAGGGCTAATCTTTATAAATATACATGTACTCTTTGTGAGACCAAGGCAGCAAAACTCTACAGCAGGCTTCAGGCTACCAGACACAGGCCCCGGGGCACACTGCTGGATAAAGGGGTTGCCTCGCTGCCCTGCTGTGGAGGCACACAGGCAGCACGAACCCCACTGACACAAGGGCCTAGACCAGCAAACCTACAGAAATGGAAGGCGGTGGTGCCCCTAGGGCATGCACGAGTGATTGCAGAGTTGCTGCAGATGTGGAAAGGTCGTGGCCTATCTTTGTGGGTGACAACAATGTGTTCAGGAGGACACAGGCTCTGTCCTGCGCATCCTGTGCTCAGGCATGGGCAGCAAGGGGAGGCAACAAACGGCTGTGCACAGTGGGACACCAGGAACCTCGTGTGCCGGGGTCACTGGCTGCCTGGGTTACTGCAGAAGCACTGCTGCCTAAGCACAGCCTGGGCGCCCTCGGCCACACTCGGCTGGGAGCGTGGCAGGCAGAGCTGGAAGGGGCAGCAGGCTGCTGTGGACATGAAGGCCTGGACAGGGGCGGGCACTACAGAGTCTGAGGAAAGCCACCCTCGAGGCCAGGGCAGTGTGCGAAGGGCGAGCCAAGCTCAGGGCTCCACATGAGGTACCTGCGGGGGTCTGTCAGAAAGAGGAGCGGGACTCCCCCATCTCCCCAAGGCCATGCCAGTCCCCCAGGGGCAGGGCCCCTGAAGACTCCCAGACCTGCCCTGCTGACAAAATGCCCTGCTCCAAGGAGCTCTGTTCTTTTTTTCAAACAAAGCAAAGAGATAAGGTCCAAAAAGGCTCATCGGATCCATCAAAACAAGTCTGGCCACACAGAGGCCTTCTCCTAGGATGAAAACCATGTAATAGAGTCACAAGGCCATTGAAGGAGCTCTGTGGGCCAGGTGGGGCCACCTGCACCCTCAGGCCCCATCACTCTAAGCCGCTTTGTGTTGACCACATGAAGTGTGCTGGAACACTGGTCCTCCCACTTTAACACGCTCAGGCGAAGAGAAATCCCCAAATGCTATCAATTAATAAAAGAACTTAAAGTGACCTCTCCAGCCCCTCCATGTGACAGGACCTGGCCTGCTGTGTCAGTCTGCCAACCTGAGGAAAGAACAAAGCTCTGAGGAAAGAGGGAGAAGAGGAGGAGGGTGGCCAGGACACTGAGCCATTGGAAGGTTCCAGAAAAGCACTGAGAGTTGAACAGTGCCAAGAAGACTTCCCAGAAATGTCCCAAGAAGCAACTGAGAGGACACAGACAGCCAGATGGACTGGCCAGGGCATTGGATGCTCTCTAACTCTACCTGTCCCATTGCAGAAGGAGGCCCCTCCATCCTGTGCAGACAGAACATGGTCCTGCGCTGTCCTACTACCCCACCCACGCTCTTCCACGTACTCTACACACAACAGAAGGCTGTGTGTTTGGTGCCTTGGACCTCTTCTCCTGGCTTAGCGCCACCACGCACTCCCCAGCCACATCACAGACATTCACACCTCCTATGGTATCTATCCCTGGATTCCCCACCCCAGTCTGCTCGCTCTGCACCTGCAAGCCAGTTGTCCAAAGCACCACTTTCCTGGGCATGAAGGTCCCCCTCAAGTCTCCTCCTCAGGGACATTACCTGGCTATAGGAAAGCAGGTCCACGTCTGGAGTTGGGGTAAGCAACAGGGATCAAGTCCAAGATACCCAGGCCGTGCCTTGGAAATGCTCTGCAGGTGCCTCAACACACCTGGCCCTGGGTATGGAGGGCCCCAGTCCAGGGGCTGCCTCATGTCCCTGAGCCCCCCAGGTCATGAAGACTGCCAGTGAGCTCCTATTCTCCCCATGTCTGGTATCCCTTGCCAACAAGAAGACTCCTCACCAGGCAGCCCCACAGCAAGCATCCCACCCATCTGTTGGTCGCCCCCCCCCCACTAACTCAAGAGTCGGGCCTACCAGAGCACCTTGTCTTCCTGTTACTGCAGAGCCCCTGCATGACTTTCTACCCTGGAGGTCACTGCCACAGTGTCTGTGACAGTGAGCTGCTGTCCATCACACCTGTCCCGTGGCAGGTGACAAGGGTCCAGCCACCTTGCTCCCTCCCACACAAAGTTAAGTAAGTGGTGCTATGGTCACTCAGCCTCCCGTCTGCTGGGGAGCCCCAGTGGCCCATCTGGTGACTGCTCTGGAAAGCTGAGGGACAGGCCGTGTTACAGCTTCTACCCAGATGTTCCCCCAAAGCGCAAATGCTCACAGCTCACAGGTGAGGCTTTGAGGAGGGGATGGGATCATGGGTGCAATTCTGGGAAGGGGAGAGCCACTGTGACCGTCACCCTCAAGGCACACAGCCCTTGTCCTCTCTTGATAGCTACCGCTGCCTCTCCTGCCATGGACTGTTCCCCTCTGTGCCACCCCTCTGCCATGCCACCCAGCTGAGAGCCAGACTATGGGCTAAGACCTCGAGAACTGTGAGCTAAGCAAAGGCTCTCCTCCTTTCACTTGTGGGTGTCAGATTTGGCGTCTCAACACCAGGGAAGTAATTGAGACGGTACAAGGTTTGTAGCCGACAGGCACAAGGGGCACTTACCACACGATGGCCAGTCGGGGGATGGTGAACATGAGCGCTGGCTCGTAGTCGTCGATCATGTCCTGGGTGAGGTACCCGCAGTCCAGGGCCCTGGCCAGGGAGAGGGAGTGAGCGGCACATCCAGGGCTGGACGGACCGAGTGGGGGCAAGAGAAGGGTGCACTGACCCCCACCTGAGTCCACTGCACCCCTTACCCACGTAGAGGCTAATGTTGGAAAGGCTGCAGAGGGCAGACGGCCCTGGAAGAGGCGGTGAGGTGCAGTCTGTCTTCCACCTGCCTTGCCTCAGCCCAGGAAGGGAGCAGAAATGTGGGGAGCAGGCGAAGTGAGTAGGGATAGTGCTGAGCCCCAGGAAGCCAGCCAGGTGAGCTTCGCCTAACCGGGGGTTTGGAGCACTTCAGCACCAAGAATACATGCGGGACAGGCATCTCCTCACAAGGGACACCTCCTGAGGATTGGGGCTGCTGTCCCTTTCCAGCATAGCAGGGGCCTTCTCCATGCCAGGTGAGCAGGTACAGTTGCCAGGGGCTGTGAGATCAGCAGCACTTCCTGTCATCTCATTTTCTAGCACCTGGAAATCTCTCTCAAAGAATCAGCAGTGAATGATCTGTCTTTTCAAAATAACAAACTTGGGGCCAGGAGCTAGCAGTACACTGGCAAGCGCGAGGTCCTGAGTTCAATTTCCAGTACTGCTCCTCAAAAAACAAACTTGTGATGTGAGGCTGGTCAATTTTCAAAACTTACTAACACCACAGCGGAAGACTTGACCCCCACATACCCTCAGAAAACCTGGCTTTGATTGCACTGATGCGTCACGCCCAAAAGTGTGCTCGGCAGGCCTGAAGCCCAGAGAGGGCCTCATCGTGGGCTGTCACGACAAGGAGCCAGGCGGTGGGCAGGTGGGGGCAGGGTGCTCCTGCCTACGGGCCATCCTGCCAGCCTCCCTCCCTGCACATGAGTCACCAGCTGCACAATCCCTCTGGCTGGAGAAAAGGTGGACCAACGATCAACTGGGAGGCCTTGCTCTCTGCCACCGGCAGCAAGAGCAGGCTAGGCCCCGGCGAGGCCCACCGGGCTTCCCGCGCCAGCTTACCGCTCCACAGTCTCGCAGAACAGCACGATGACCTCCTGCTGCGCGTAGTACTCCCTGGGGGACTTCACAGGCACCATGGCTGACACGTAGCTGCAGGCACAGCAAGGCGTATCAGGCCCCGAGCCACCTGGGCCTCCCCAAAATGAGCTCGCGACCCCAACCCTCAGCAGTGCCATCAGGATCACGGCCACAGCTGTCGGCTTTGCAGTGACGTCTCAAGCAAGGCTCTCCTGGGGCAGGCCCAGGGCCGCCTCAGACCGCTCTGCACTGTTTCCCCCAAGCCATCCCTCCGCTGGGCAGCTGCCTCTCCCTGGGCCCAGTCTGACGCCGGAGCAAGTGTGCAAGTGTGCAAGTGTGAGCATCGGACAGCCCTGTGCGCCCATCGTAGCAGTCGGCCACGTGGAGCCCTGCACCCAGAGCAAGGCCAGCTGGGCGCAGGGACTCGGGGCAGCCGCCAGCTCCCCAGAGTGCATTCTTTCCTTCTAAGACACCGATTCTAACCCTTTCTTGCTATGAAAGTCCATTTGGAAAACCAAAGAAGAAAGTAAAGCCCAACGGTTGGCACTCTCGTTTCCCAGACAGCCTTGCCAGAGGGCCTGCCAGAGACTACACAGCTCGGGATGCACGAGCGCGGCTCCCCACGTGCCCAGCCCTCCCTCACCTGCGGCGAGCTGTGCTGCCAGAGGGACCCCTCTAGGTCCTGACCCCAAGTCCACGCCACCAGAGCTCTCTGGCCAAAGACCCCTCTGCTCGCATCCCTCCCTGGAGGCCCTCAGCCCACACCAGCAAGGGCACCAAGCCCTCACGTGCTGCTCCTTGCTAGGCTCCTTGTGGTTTTCCACACTTTGTTTCTTGGGCTTTGGTTTTTCAGGGTTTTCCTTCCAGCACTAAGGATTAAACCCAGGTCCTTTGTACTGAGCTGAATCCCCTACTCCACCCATTTTTAAAATAAGGTCTTGCTGAGTCACTAAATTGTCCAGGTTGGGATTGAACTGTGGATCTGCCTGCCTCAGCCTCCCAGAATGCTGGGATTACGGGCCTGCCTGGAATGGTGGAATTCACTGGCTGGAAGTATGGGGGACCACCCATCCCCGAGAACTGGCACATGGGCCTAGTGCAAAGGCTGTGACTCCCACACTCAGGGCACCTGCCAGGGTCACCAGGGTCACCTGAGCTCGAACTCGGCAAACAGGACATCAAAATGCCTGAGCGCCTCCCGCATCTTCTCCGTGTAGGTGCTGAGGTCACGCAGCGCCTGGTCCCGGAGGGCCCCGCGCACGTCTTCCAGGCTGCGCGTCAGCTCCTTGGCCAGCGGCCGCATGGCCACACTCTCCAGCTCCCGGTTCATGATGATGGAGCCAGCAGCCAGGCACTGCGAGCAGAGGGTGCGCTGAGGGACCCCTGGGACCTCCGGAGGCCCTGTCCTTGGGGCCCAGCCCAGCGCCCCCGGCCTCAGTGGCCCCCTGCTCCTAGTCCCCTCCGGGGCTCCTCGTAAGTCCAGAGCAAACGTGGCAGCAGCAATACTGTGCCTTCCTGTGACACCATGGTCCCCATCTGTCCCCCAGGGCAGGCAGACAGGGAGGGGCGGGCTTTGTGCAGGGGCCGTGAGGTGATCCTGTCCCTTCCAGTGCTGCCCGAGCTGACTGTCTCACAGTCAGGAGTTTCCAGAGGCCAGGCAGGCGACAGTGCAGGCTGCCGGCTCCCAGAGCGTGCGCTCCTGGCGGGCGGGCAGTCACAGACACTGTTAGTGCACACAGGGCTCAGGGACACCTGACAGCCCCTACACGCACACTTGGGGCCTGGTAGGCCCTCAACTCCCACCGGGCTGAGGGGCCCCCCTGCACCCACAAACCCCACATGTGCTAGGCTCCAGAGTGGGGCACAAACAAAATTCTGCCAGCTGCTCTTAGGCTGTGGAGTACAGCAGGACCCTGGAGGCCATGAGAGACATGGGTTCCTGCACACAAACAGGGCAGTCACCAGCCCATCCTGTCAGCGAGTCAGACAAGAAGCAACCTCCTAGGTGACTGAGGAAGAGAGGAGCTGGTTCCCCAGAACAGCAGGGAGCTGTGGGCACCACGGTCAGAGACTGCACCTACATTCGGGCACCTGGCCCAGCAGCTGGCAGCTCACGCCTCCTCTGGCACCACTCACAGCGCCCTCTGCCTGGGGCCCCTTTAGAAAGTAGGGCACCAAGGTGGGAGAGGGTGCCCCCGCAGCAGGCAGGCAGAGGCTGGTTAGAACCAGGCAGGGCCGGGGAGACCAGGGAGGTGTGGAGGGAAGGCCAGAAAGGAGGAGGAGGTCCAGAGCCAAGGGGCACACTCAGAGCCCTGGAGCCCCCAGGTGAGGACTGCAAGGCCGAGGAGAAGTGGGGGGTCACAGGAAGCCACTGGGCTGGGGAGACACAGTCCTGCTATCAGGCAGGGTACTTCCTCTCAGTGCCTCAGTTTCCTCTTCGACAGATGAACATAAAACTCTGACCTACTCCTGGCAGATGTGGCAAGAGTAAAGGCCCCGCAGAGCCCACAAACTGTCATCGCTGCTACAAGTAGGGGAGGGAACTGCCAGTGTGCGTGTGCGTGTGCGCGTGTAGGTGTACCAGCAATGGAATCCAGAGCTGTGCATGTGCCAGGCAAGTGCTCTGCCACTGAGATCCACCCCTGGTCCTTTGATCAAACTAATTTTTATTTTGCAACAGGGTCTCACTAAGTTGCCCAGGTTGGGCTTGAACTTTTGATCCTCCTGCCTCAGCCTTCTGAGTAGCTGGGATGATGGGGCACACCACCACACCAGCTGGAACTCCTATCCTCAACACTAGAGTTACTGCTCCTGAGAACCAGGTGTGGGTGTCCTGGACGTCTGGGGCCCTAAGCCCCCAAGAAGCTACAGGAAGCTTCACTTGCATGTGCTGCCTTGGGGCGCAGGTTCATGGCTCCCCCTGCTCTCCTAGGGGCACTGTGGCCTCACAGTGTAAGCTACCTCAGCACCGAACCACAGCTGGCCAGCCAGGTTGTCGTGCCGGATCTCCTCGGGGAACTTGACACAGAAGTCCCGGGGGGCACGGTCCTGGGGGATGCACTCGTCCATGATCTGGTTGATGATGTTTAACACGTTGTCCTGAAAGAGAACGGAGACAGCACTCATCACTGCCCGGCCGGCGGCTGTCAAGCCCCATGGGAAACGGGCACAGTGGCAACCGAGGCACACAGCTGCGCTTCCTGTATGATTGTTAGGAAAGAGCCACACAGTCCAGGCATCTGGAGGGGAGGAGGCTCCACCCTGCTCGGCAGCGTGACACCAGTGTGTGCACTAGCACACAGCGCGGCCACAGCATCCTGAGTTCCCGCGTGTGTTGATTCTGGGGACACTTCACAGGCACTAGGCAGGAATCCCACGCCTTGGGGACCCAGGACCTGGGCCAGCACCACCCACTTCTCCCATCGTTGCAGCTCTGTCTGCAAAATGGAAAGCACAGCTCCGGCTGCCCAGAGGCTGGAGTGAGCTAACGCTTGCAAAACTCTCAGCGGCTCTGTCCTTTCTCATCTGAGCCTCAGGACACATTGAGGCGATTTTAAAGACTCTTCAAAGTTATTTTACTCCCTGCTGCTCCAAACAGAAAGCACAGCAGCAGCCTGTTCAGCTGCCCAAATCCCATCCTCCTTTCCTTTAAAATTGCCTACTTTAAACACAGACCTTTAATTCCACTGGATGACAAGAGAATTGCATGCTTAAAGATTTTTCCTTTAATTTTCTGAAATACAAGATTATTAATGCACATTCATCACAGGAAGCTGGAAGGTGACATGGAGGGAGGCAGGGAAACTCCCCGGTGGAAACGTCCTTCCGGCAGGGCCTGTGGCTTTCCCATTTCCACCCCTGTACCCCGCCGGCCTGCTCCTGACCCGAGCTGAGACTTGGGAGCACCTGACTTTGTTCTGTGCTGCTGTCGATGGAGAGCGAACCACCTCAACTGTCCCGGCTCAGCTCCCGCTGGAGGCCTGCGAGACCACCCAGCCTCTGCTGCAGGCCACGCTATGTTTCTACTTCTGCACCGGAAATATTGCTGCCATTGCCGTGGGCTGCTCTAAGCTGGGGGTAATTTCCCCAGGAGCCACGGACTCCTAGCAGTGGAATCAGGAAGCCTCCAGGCTCTGAGTCGGTGCTGCCAGACCGGTGGTCCTAGTCTTCGTAAGGCCTTGCCTACTGGTCACTTGACAAAGCTCTGCACCATCCTCCGCGTTCCCAGAGACGCCCCTGCGCGTCTGGCGCATGGGAAGGAAACGTGTCAGCAGAGATATTTTTAGCAGCGGTTTGCAGGGCCTCTGTTTATTATGCAGCAGTGGCTCAGGCACTGTTTGTCAGCCGCAGTGTGGTCACGTCACCCTGTCAAGGCTGCATGCACTGCCCAGCACCTGTCCTTCCTGTCAGCTCTCCTCGCTGCTTCCAGCTCTGGGTCTCTGAGGTGAACCATGCTGTACCCTACCCAGCACTGTTCCTCCCACTCCAGCCACCCACCTCTTTGGTCTGCGTCGCCAGAACCGCCATGGCCAACCCTGAGAAGTCCCTGCAGGGTGCGAGCAGTTGGTATAGCCTGGAGTTGCCAGGCCCTGGCTATTCCATCCCGTGCTCACTACTCACCTGGCAGGAGCGGAACTGGCTGACAAGCAGTGTACAGCGCTGGGGGTCCTTCCTCCCGTCCAGGCTGTCCAGCTCCGCGGCCACCTGGTTCAGCTCCTCGTCAGCATAGTAGAACTGGGCCAGCAGCTGTGGGTCGGACCTCTGGGGAGAGAGATGCTGGGCGTGTAAGAGAGGCCTGAGGGTCACTGCCCGGGCAAGCCCCCAGCCCAGAACCTCCCGCCTGAGGAGCAGCCAGCTCTCCTAGCAGATTCCTGCACACAGAAGCATCTCAGCACACATCCGGGGCAGAGCTACAGGACACCACAGCCAGGCGGGGGTCACCTCTCAGACTTGGCTCGGACCCTGACCCCAGGTCTTCATCCAACATAGACCAGGGCTCTGTGAGGAACAGGGTCAGGAACTGCAGGATGATGAAATGGCTCTTAGGAAAGATTATATTCACAGATCTGACCTGAAACGGTCAACAAGGGCAGTGGCCCAGGGCAAGACAATGCATACTCCACTGAAATGCTGAAGCAGACAGTGCCCAGCAGCTCGCCAGCCCTGCCGGCACGGCCTCCAGCCCAGGAAGTGCCTCTATTCAGGGCTCCCCTTCCCTAGACTTGGAGAGGCTCAGGTCTGGGTCTCATGACACCACACCGAGCGTCCTTAATTGGGCCTGCTGGTCTCCGCCCCTCACTCCACACAGAGCCTGTGCAGGCCCCATAGCACCCGGTGCCAGCGGCCCCTTCCCTGGATGTGAGACTCCAGGAGCAAGAGCAGCACAGGGAAGGGTCAAGCAGCCTTTGCATGAGGGCTACAGAAGGTGTCCTTGCTGTATGAATATCCAGGGAAGGGCGCAGGAGAGCAACCACCCCCGGGCACAAATGTCACGGTGGCTCTGTGACAGACAGGCTGTGCTGCCAAGTGTGCACACGCACCCCACACAAGCCGCCCCTGGACTCCCTCTCCTCTGCCTGGGAATACTGGCAAGACTGGTGCCCAAATGTAACTCCTCTGCATCACTGTTAGTTTCTGCCCCAGCCCCACTGCCCCTACTCTCTGGCCCCTGGCCTCTCTCCACACAGCCTTGTCCCAGAGAAGCTTTTCCTGAGCCGCAAGGCCTCGGCCACAAGGGACATGAGTTTTCCCAGGACTTTCCAGGGAGGCTGGGGAGACCCCTGTCCATCCAACAGCTGCTCTATGTAGGGCTGGGCTGATGTCAGCAGATGCTGGAGGCAGGGATGAGAAGGCACCGAGCCGTATCACCCCCACCACGTGTGGCCAACGGTCTGGGGTCCTGCCAAGGCCATGAGCCTCAGTTCCCCCAACCCGTGGCCGCTCTGTGATAAAGCTGGACCCAGACTGCATCAGTGTGTGGCAGGCAGGTTGCTGGCTCGGTACACCCCAGGGGCAGGGCCGGCACAGCATGAGGGACCAGGAATTGAACCCTGGTCCCTGCACTTGCCAAAGCAGGTGCTTAGTCTGCTGAACTATTGCGCTGGCCCTCGGCTCTGAATTTAGAGCACTGGATCCTGACAGCTCCAGGAAGCAAAACCTCTGCTGCACAAAAAAGGGCATAACAAGCAGGCTGCTCAAGCTGTGGAGACAAAGGATGACCCAAGAGCCTTCCTACCTGGCCCCGAAGACCTCCCCGGGCACAGGTAGTCCTTGAAGTAACTGTACAACTTCTGGGTCAGCTGGGGTACGCCCTCCAGTCAGCAGGGGAGCAAGTGCAGAAACCACAGAGGTGCACAAAACATGGTAACGGCCACGGTGTCACACGTCCCACCTGTCACCATCCCACTTGAAGGAAGGGGCTGAGCCTCCAGGGCCACATATGTCCCCAGGGCTGGGGCGACCACACACTCACTCCTCTGTCCTGGATGGGCTGACAAACAGCTGTGTGAGTGCATGTGTGTGTGTGCACGTGTGTGTGCAATTGAGCATGTACAAGGTATGCGCATGCATGTGCATATGATTGCTATGTGCAAATGTGTGTGCTAAGCCCACGCACCTTCTGTGTAAGCATGCCTTGCGTGTGTACAGCTCAGTGTGGCTGTGTGTGCACTTGTGCTCATCCTGGGGTGGGGCCAGGGTGGAGCCCGCTGGTGTTTCAAATGGGCTCCCTCAGCCTCAGGGTCAAGGCCACCCCTGTCCTCTACCTCACGACCCGCAGCGCTGTTCACTGCACAGCTGAGCCCTCGTGGGATGGCCATACACCCCAGTGACTAAAAAGAACATCAATAGAAGGAAAGCCATGTCGCCTAGGCCAGAGCAGAGACCCCAGAGCCAGGTGACAGGACAAAGGAGCCCCACTGTACTGGTTAGCTTTAACTGTGTCCACCTAACTGGCTGTGATGCTCCCAGAGATTAGGAGAGCACCCTTGGGTGTGTCTGTGCGGGTCCTGAGATCTGCCCTTGGGGATAATTCTGGGCCCTCCCCTTCCTCTCTGGTGCTGTTTCCAGCCTCCAGGACCTGAGCATTTTGCTCCGCCCGGCCCGTCTGCCCTGACGCAGCTGTCTGAGAGCCAGACAGCCATGGACTGTAGCCTCTGAATCCAGGAGCCAAATAAACTTCCTCTCCCTTATGTCACGGGTGTCAGGCATCTCAGCGACAGACATGCTACAGAATACACTCCCGGTCCTCAGTGCCAGGAGGGGAACACAATCAGACGTCAGAGCAGAGGAAAGCCCAACAGCTGCAGGCGCTACGCCCGCATCCCTAGTGAATGCTGGATCGCTAGCATCTCTAACTCCTCGCTGGCTCTCACTCATTTTCCAAAGGCCGAGATGGGGCTGGCTGCTGTCATGAGACTGCCAGCACAATGGTCCTCATCAGCACATAGAGGGAGCCCTGAGCACACAGCACCAGCAGGGCAGGTGCCACCAGGACAGGCGTCCCCAGGGAAAATGCTAGAAAGGAGCCCTGTCAACAAAGCAGGGGATGCAAGAACCACATGGGGCAGCTGTGTTAGTGCCTCACAAGCACAGTGGGCCTAATGGCTGGCCCACAAGGGACTCTGGCTCCAGGTTCCATTCAGCAGGACACCTGATGCCGCTACAGGGAAGCCGAGTCCTTCCTGGGAAAAGGGCCACATGTGTCTCCAGGGCCCCTTCATTCTGCCTCAGGGGCAGCTGGTGCCCCAAAGGTTTCTCATAGGGCTGAGATATCCCCAGGCACAGAGATCCCCTGCCAGAGGGGTCAGATTGGCACTGTGACCTTATACGCTGAACTGTGCCCCCTTCATACACTGAAGCCCTAACCCCTGGGACTGCACAGTGTGACTGCACTTAGGGAGAGGACCTGTGAGGAGGTGACTACAGTAAAAGGAGGTCCTTAGAGTAGGTCCTCTTCAATATGCCCAGTATCCCCCCCCACCACCACCACCACCAGGAAGAGACGGACCGCAGATGGATGCACGCAGAGGGGGGCCATGAAGACATGGGGGACCGCCTGCCTGCAGGACTGAGGGCTGGGCTGCTACCATGGAAGTTGCCTGTTCCAGGCTCTTACTTACTTGCTTATTATTTTTTATACATTTGGTACAAGGTCTCATTATAAGCTTGGACTCATAGTGATCCTCCTGCTTTCAGCATCCCTAGCACTGGGATTACAGGCGTATCCACTATGCTCAGGCCAGGTCACTGGCTCAGCATGCCCAGGGGTTGGGCCAGCACAGCAAGTGGTGCCGGCGATCAAATCCTGGTCCCTGCACTTGCCTAAGCATGCGCTCAGTCTGCTAAGCTATCTCACCGGCCCCCAGGTTCCTTTAGAGAGGCCCAGATGCAGATCCACGCAGGTTCCCTAGGAGCAGGGCTCTGGCCCTCAGCCACAGTGGTGTCCACCAAGGAGGACCAGCTGCCCATGACTGTCAGTGACACCCTCAGAAAGTCCTAAGTGACTCTACTCAAAGGTAAAACTCAAGATCTCCAAAAGCTGTTTGTGGGGCTGGCTCAAGCCTCCCCAAAAGAGCCTGCAGACCCCGCCTGCCGAAAGCCCCTCTCAGCATAGGCATCAGGGCCATTTAAAATGACTTTGTAGTCATCTGCAGTTCCTTTGATGTGGGGAAACAGCAAGGATATCTGTGATCACCAGATGCAGAGCTCTGGGGGACAAGGGACAGCACAAATAAGGCACCCAAGCCCACCCACACGCACGGAGATCTCAAGTGAGAATAGGCTCCACACGCCCCTTGGGAAGGGCCCCACAGACACGCAGGGGCTGTGGATCTGACAGAGGCGCACATAGGCAGGCGCCCTTTTGCTACCAGATGTAGGTGAGAACACTTAGCAAAACTAGAGAACTTGGTTCCACATGCACACTCACGAGACACACACATATACACACTGAGCAGAAGAAATTAAAAATATTCAGAAAAAAAACGCAGCTAAAATAGGCAAGGCCCACCCTTTTGGTGACACGCTGTCTGCAGCCCCCACAGGACTGGTACTTGGGACAGAAGAGTCCAAGTCTGCAGTCTGCTGGCAGTGATTAACAAAGCTGATAAAATTCAATTTGTTCTAACAGAATCCAGAAAAAAATCAAGGACACTAAATTTCCATTTCTAAGTATGCAGAACATGAGGCAAGCGGTTAGTCTGGCCTGCGCATCACCTGGAGAAAGCACGGACTGTGAGGGGCTCGGCTGCTGCTGGGGACGCACGCCGGGACTGAGGGCAGCACAGAGCCGGCGTGCCATGCACAAAAGTGGCCCGCACCAGCCCACGCACTAACATTTTAACACTCAGTATTCAAGTTTCTAATAGCCCCAAAGTAAAATGTTCAGGACAAAGGGAACTGGCTGGGAAGACAGTCTACTAAAATTTGTGAGCTAGCATTGCAAGATAATAGATTGGAGCACAGGAGAAACGTCTTCTTTTTTTTTTTAGACGGGCTCACTGTGTTGTGCAGGCTGGCCTTGACCTCATGATCCTCCAGCCTCAGCCTCCTGAGGGCTGGAATTAGGGGCTGCTGCTGGAGGAATGTCTTTTAATCATGCCATGGGAGAGTACGATCTCAAGGTAAATCATAGCTGTAGAAGTTTTTACACTCAAAGAAAACAAGACTGGGGCTGAAGAAGGAAGCCTTTAGTTAGAGGTGATGCCCCTGCCAAGCACCACTGTGGAAGGCAGAAGCGCCCAACGCGGAGCCAAAGCAGCTGTGTACTCACCGCCGCAGGGCAGGATGGGCCACCCAGACCCGGCACGTACAGCGCTAGATCGCTATCCAGGCACGGCCGGTCCCTGCGCAGTGTGCAGATGTGGCCGTGGAGTGGGATGACCTGGAGCACACGGGGCTGCCCAGCACGCTGCCCACACTGCTGGCCACCCCAAGAGGGACTGGGGCATGGCCCGAGCAGAGCACTGCTCCCGACAGCCTCCTGCAAAATGGCCCTGTGTGCCTTCAACCCATGCCAGACTGAAGCTCACAAAGGCAGCGCTGGCTGGCTGGCACATCTGACACCAGAGCCAGATTCCCCAGGGCACTGAGCCCCCACCAGCCTCTCTGCATGGAAGAGGAGGGGTACGAGCGCCAGGACCAGATCCCTCTCACACTCCTGCTCCCCCAGCATGGCCTTGAAGGACGCCTGTGTCACTCCACAGTGGTAGCATGACAGACTTGGCCACACTGCAGGAGAGGACAGCAGTGGGCAGGTGGCAAGACAGGAGGGTGGGACAGATGGCAGGACAGGTGGCTCAGCAGACCTGAGAGGACGCTCCAGTCCTGGGTAAGCCCAGCAACGAGTGAAGCCTGGCAGGCTCTGCACTCAGCCTGCCCCCAGCAGCTGCACCTAGGATGTGGACCCAGTTTTGAACACCAGTCCCCAAGATGAGCTGCCAGGTACAACCAGCCCCATGCTCAGCATCAGAGAATGCAGCGCACCAGATCCTAGAGATGGTGGACACACGTGGGCTTCAGGGAGGCACAGACCTAAGTGGGCAGAGGAGGGCAGGGTACCCAAGCGGCTGACCTGGACCTTGCTTTCCCTGAAGCCCAGGACTGTGCCCTCCAGTGAAGCTATGTGAGGCCTCTGGAGACATCCAAACCCGGCCCCCACCCTGCCAGCTGACCTTCAACCCCAACACAGGAACAGCGGCCCATGCTATGCCTGGCCATCAAGAAGACCTGACCTTTGAGGAACAGCAGGTCCCCCAGGCCAGGACTGCTCACAGCCTCCACGTACTGACCTAGGTGCTCCTGTGGTACCCACCACCCTTCCTCCCCTCAGGGGCTGGATGCCAAGACCTCGCTGAGCTGGTGGCACTGTCACCATCCACCAGCAGACAGACACTCATTTGGTCACAAGGGACGGTCTTGCTGTTTGGTTTACTAGCGGCCTCCATATGCCCATCTTTTGCACACTCTGCAAGACGCAGCAGGGAGACTGGCAGGAGATGGGGGAGGGCCCTTCTCACCCCGCCCCGAGCCGGGCTTCTGCTGGGCCACGGATCTGCTGTGGTTGGTGGCTGCACTGCTGGTCTCCAGACTGCTGCAGGGCTCGCTGCCCCGGGTGTGACCAGCTGTGCGTAGTGCAGCCTGCTCAGCCCACTGTGCCTCACAGAGCCGTGCACAGGGCATGGGAGCTGAGCGAGGCTGTCCTGGAACTGTGCGGCAGCACTGAGGGGTGTGCGAGTGCTGCTCTCAGGGACAGGCTCGCACTGCGCAGGCCTTCAGAACATTCACAGTAATGGGGACACGGGGCAGGGTAGTGTCATCAGGAATGGCTACAGGGCACAGTCATCAGGGCTTGGGTCTGTGTTCTAATCCTGCAGCAGATCTAGGGCATCCCCTGAAGTGCACATGTTCAGAGCCTGAGAGGTGATTAGGTCATAGGGGACTCCCAAGAGGAGGGGCCTGGTCGCAAAGGTGGGCTGCTGGAGGAGGGGCCTGGAGGGTCGTCCTCCTCCCTGGCTCCTCCCTCCTTCTGCTTCCTGGCCACCATGTGGGGAGCAACTGTCCCCTGCCCCAGCTCTTTCACTCTGCCTCTCAGCCATCCCGTTCCTGCCTTGGAGCCAGCTGACCATGGACTGAATCCTCTAAAACCTGTGAGCCAAAATAAACCTTTCCTCTATCTGTGGGTGTCAGCTCGGTGTCCCAGGGGTAGGGAATGCCCAGCTCAGCTTCACAGCTCCCATGTCTTCAAAAATGGCAAGTGGGGGTCAGGGAGATGGCTCAGTAGAATAAGCGCTTGCCTGGCAAGCACAAGGGCCTGAGTTCAATCCCTGGTTTCGCAAAAAAAAAAAAAAAAAAAAAAAATTGGCAGGTGAAATTGGGACTACAGCCAACTTCAGCACCACGTTGATCGCGCCTCCTTGGTGTTCATAGTCCGGGACCAACAGTGGCTTGCTCTCCTCCGCAGTCCTCACCCTCTCAGGCATGGCTTCCGGCTCAAGAGGCTCGGCTGGCAAAGACCTAGCCTACCCTCAGAGACCAAGGGGGGCCCAGGACGACCCTGCCCATCCAGCACACACACCTGTGGCAGGCACTGCAGTGGGACAGGGACATCCATGCAAGAGGAAGGCCATCTCCTGGCGGAGCCTGGGGAGAACAGCACCCAGCTGCCCCATGCAGTCGGAGAGGCTCATACGTAGATTCTGAGGCATCATGAACCTCACTCAAGCTTTGATAACCAGAGGATCCTACATGACATTTTATAAGAATAACCTTAGGGCCAGCAAAATGGCTCAGTGGATTAATGCACCTGCTTAGACAGGCAGGGGCAGGAGTTCGATCCCCCAGCCTGCCGTGCTGGCCCCGCCCCCCACTGGGGCATGCTAAGACAGTGATTGAGACTGGAGTGGTGGTGTGCGCCTGTAATCCCAGCACTCGGGAGGCTAAAAGTAGGAGGATCACTACGAGTCCCATCTGTGTAGTGAGACCCTATAGACCCTGTATTAAAAAAAAAGAAGAACAAGCTTGTGCAAAGCTGCTTCAGCATCATCGGAGGCAACTCCATGCCTCCGCAGTTTCACAGGCAGCCTGGTAAATTAGTGCCCAGAGCAGCTTTAGATGTTAGGAACAGTTTAAACACCGCTGTCTTGCCTGGAGGCACTCCTCCCCCAGCCCAAGAGAGAAGCTGTCCCCAGAGCAGAAGGGCAGGGGGCCCACAGGGCTCGGCAGGGCTTGCTATGCAAGGGGCCAATCCCACACACAGACAGGCCCTCCAGGAGCCACATGCTGCTGTGACAGGGAGACAGAGCCACTGGGAAAGAGACTGTGGAGCAGCAAAGACCCTGGCCTGGATCCAGGCTGTTGGAGGCCCCCGAGGATGAGCCCCGTTTCTGCCGGGACATTCTCCTTACAGAGGAGCAGGCGGCGTGGGGCCTCCAACCCCCAGGAGCTGGCAGCGGCTGCAGTACTTGTTCTGCAATCTATCTCTGGCCACCTAGCAAACAGCTTTGCTTTTCTTCCCTCCTTTTTTGACCAGGTCTCATTAGCCCTCACAAGCCAGGTCCTGTGATACTGCTCAGGCTGACTTTGAACTCCTGGGCTCACGAGATCCTCCAGCCTCAGCCTCCCAATTAGGAGGACTGAAGGCACACATCACTGTGCCTGTCTACCCAGAGTTTCCAAAAGGAAAATGAATTTTCAAATAAAAGTCCCAAGCAAGTACCATCCTTACATATGACAGGAAGAACACAGCAGAAGATAATGCAACAGCTGCAGTGAGGCACAGAGAAGCTGACAGAGGGGACCCCTAAGCCAGTGCGATCCCAAGGGGAAAGTGTGTGGCTCACCAAGGGGGATAAGCTATACCTGACACTCCAGGGTCACTACAACACTCAGCTTCAAACTTCAATGTTAAAGTCTTTCAATTTCATTTTATCTTAAAAACTATTAAATAGCAAACTTGTGACGACAAGAAATTTCTTTCCCACAGTGCTAACAAGGTGCTCCAGATGGCACATTCGGTACCCACGACCAGGATGGCCCTGCCCTGCCTGACAGCGTCTAGGACCTGGGGGCGGGGCTGAGTCTCAGCTGCATGCCTGGGAATCTGCTGTCTATCATCACTCCTCCCCTTTGGCAGGACTTGAGGTAACCCGCTAAGGACACACTGAGCGGAGCTTGTTTCCTCAATCTAAGGATAAGTCCTGCCCATAGGTACCTGCCTGGCTACCCTGGCCCCTGCTTTACAAGCTTGGGCCACATGCTGGCACTGTGGCCCCTGGGGAGGGTGGGAAAGTCAGGGTGGGGCGGGGTCATCACTCAGGGTGGCCGTGCGGCTGGGGGCAGGGATGACACACACTTCTGGATCTGCTCCCCAAGGGTCCTCCGGGGCTCAGAAACCCAACTGCTGGCTGCCTGCCCCTACACTGAGCCCAGAGCTGGGCCACTCTTCTGGGGACCACCTCCTTGGTCACACTGCCCGAGGGCCACTCGCTGGGCGCCAGACTCCCAGCAGCCCAGGATAAGCAGCCCCTGGGTCACTGCTCAAAGACAGCAAGCCCCACTTTCCCCAGCAGCTTCAGAAGGCAGATTCACAGACTCCCACAGAATCCTGCCTGCTAAGCGTGAGATCCCAGGCTCAGCGCAAGTGGGGCGCGGGGGTGCCGCCGGGCTCTCATGTGATCTCATCCCAGAACGCCTCACTGTCCCCAAAGCAGCCCACGCTGTCAGCAGCCACCTGGAGGAGCCCCGGCCTGCTGTCCCCACTCACGTGTGTGGCTTCCTCACTGAGCACCAGGGTCCTGAGCTTCCCCGCGCCACAGCAAGAATGCACGCGCTGGAAGCTTACCCTCCACAGCTGTCGGTGGTGTTTGGAGGGGGCGCTTCAGAAGGTAGTCGGGCTTAGTGAGGTCCTGGCCGTGGGCCTTGTAAGAAAGACAAGAGGCCCCAGCTGGCCGCCTGCTGTCTCCCCACAGATGTTCTCCCTATGCCACAGTGCAGCACAAGGCCTCACTAGATGCCAAGAATGTGCTGGTGCCGTGCTCTAGAAATAAAAGAATCGCGTTTCTGTTCTTTATAAATAACCCAGTCTCATGAACAGTATTATAGCAATAGAGGGGCCGGGGAGATGGCTCAGTGGAATAAGCGCTTCCCTGGCAAGTGAAAGGGCCTGAGTTCAATCCCCAGCTCCGCAAAAAAAAAAAAAAAAAAAGAAAGGTATAGCAATAGAAAGTGGACTAAGACATGACATGAATCAGAACGTCATTCCTTTGTTGCTAAACACTATTCCACTCTCCAGGGGTAGCACATTGTGTTGATTCAGTCACCTGTCCATAGGGATGTGGGCTGTTTCCTCCCTCTGCTATTATTAACAGAGCTGCTACAGACAAGCTTGTGCGTGAAATGTGTTGTCAGTCTCCTGAGTACACACGCAGAAGTGGAACTTTCCTTGGGTGTGGGGCACATGCCTGTGATCCCAGCACTCAGGAGGCTGAGGCAGGAGGATGCTGAGAGTTCCAGGCCAGCCTGCAATACATAGCAAGACCCTGTCTCAAAAAATAAAGAAGCAGAATTGCTAGGTCATTCAGCGAGTCTGCGCTGGACTTTCTGAGGAACTGCTGAGCTCTTTTCCAAGCAGGCGGCGTCATTTAACAATCACTTAGCAAAGGCGGCGTGTGAGGGTTCAGCCTCCTCACTGTCCTCATGAACACCTCGATTCTTTCTTTACTCCAGTGCTCACCACGGAGGTCAAACGGCTCCTGTGTGGGCCGAGCGCTGCCATGGAGCTGCCTGCAGGAGCCTACAGCCGATGCATATGTCTTCTCTGATGACTCACGTGCTGTGAGCGGCCAAGGCCCAGCAGCACATTCCCGCCACCCTCCTCGCCAGGCAAGCATCACAGCATGAAAACTGCATTCTGGGATGACCACATCTGCTCTGCTGACCCGCCCTGATCTTGTGAGAGGGGACCTTGGCTGCATCTGGGTCAGCTCACCAATGCCGCAGTGGGACCAGGACCGAGCAAGCCACAGAGCGGCCCTGAACCCAGGCCCTGGGGCCCAGCTGTCCCCCCACACCTGGGTGGGGTGGATGCTGATCCCCCTCCCTGCAAAAAACTATACCCAGCACCCGTGACTATGACCTCTCGGGAAAATGCAAGGAAGGTAAAGATCTCAATATGAAGCCACCCCAGATAATGAAGCGCACCCTGAATTCAGTGCCGTGGGGTAGGAGAAGTGGCTTTGTCCCTTCTTGGTAAGAGGTGAAAGGACACAGAAAGTGCCACGTGAAAACCAAGGCAGAGACTGGAGTGACGAGTCCAGGAACTAAGGGATACCTGGAGCTGCCTGACGCCACCAGAGCCAAGGAAGAGATCGGGAAGGAGCCAGGCCTGCCAGCTCCTGGACACACTGGGACCTCCAGACCCGTGAAGGGACAGCGCCTGCCCCGTGAGGCCGTCACGTTTGTGCTATTAAGCATGTCAGCAGTGGGACAAAGCCACTTCTCCTACCCCACCATGGACACCTGGATGCACACAGGCCAACAGGAAGGGAGACCTCCTGGTCACATCGTCTGGGGTCCTGAACAACCCCACGCCTGGGCACTGTCCTACGGGTCAACCTTGAGCAGTAGCCTGAGGACCTGCAGAGCTTGTCCAGCCACCCAGCTGTGGACAGTGGTGTATAAGGGGACACCCTATGGCAGCACCCCACATTCTGGGCACTCTGGTCAATCTTCTCTGCATGTAGTTGGGACACTGGCAGCACAGAGGCAACCCTGGGCCCAACCCTGCTGGTCTAGAACCTGGAGCCTGTGAAAGACGGATACCGCCCTGCACCAGCCGAGGAGGGGCTGCCAGCCCGCAGCGCCCTCCCCACCTCTCCCAGGCCGTGGCACCATCCGGGGCTGCGCGGCACACCACTGGGCCCCGGGCCCCAGGACATCATCCTGTTGGACCCCTCTGACTACCAGGAGCAGACAGGCACCCAGGCCTGGCCTGTATCCCTGCGGGGCAGGTGTGGATCTCCAATCCTTCTGTGTCGTGAAGAGTTCCAGGATCCACTCTGCACCAAAGTGACGGGAAGGAAGGAAGATGCTGTGAGCTGCGATGTGAATTCTTGTGACAGCCACGGGCTAAACTGGATGTTTTTGGTGTGTCTCACTCAATCTGCCAGGCTCCAGGTGTCAAACTTTATAAGGAGACAAATGAGCCAGGAGGCCTCACTCTGAAGGGGTCAAAGGAGAATGGGAGTGGGCTGAGGTCCATTTCTCTAATTTCCATCCACAGAACATGACTAGTTGTGGGTGAGGCGCATGCCTGCAATCCCTGAACTCAGGGGGCTGAGGCAGGGGTAGCTCTGAATTTGAGGCCAGCCTGGCTCTATATGGAGCTCTGTCTCAGAGAGAGAGAGAGAGAGAGAGAGACAGACAGACAGACAGACAGACAGACAGACAGAGACACAGAGACAGAGAGAGACAGAGAGACACAGAGACAGAGAGACAGAGAGAGACAGAGAGACACAGAGACAGAGACAGACAGAGACAGACAGAGACACAGAGACAGAGAGACAGACAGACAGAGACACAGAGAGAGACAGAGACACAGA